ACATTTTAAATTTTGAAACTAATAAACGAAATTATTAAACTTTCCTTTGGTCAAACTTTCTGAAAATTTGTAGGTTTCTACAGACTTTTCATGGAAGTGTGTAGACATTTGCAGTTTGATTACCTCTCAATAACTATATATAAATATCATTCACACAAAGTACAATGAAGTTTCACATGCAGACTGAAATAGTATAATTGCTGAATTTGCATAATATGCCTATCATCTTAATTTTTACACATATATTTTAAATTTTCTGCTACAGTACCGGTAGACTATAACTCATACTAGATAAAATACAAAAAAGTGTATATTTTTGCATTATAATGTGTGCCGGAAAAATGTGTATAGGCTTACTATTCCAACAAAACTGCACTGTGGCAATAAGAATTTTTGAATTCGGTTCTGCTTTGTTCTACATGCAGCCTCAATACATTTCTGATTAGCCCACTGTTTTAAGAAGATAGTAGGCCATCAAGACTGAAAGATAATAGATTGTTGTTTACTAAAAATTTACTTGAAAAAAAAATTCATATAATTAATTTATACAGAGTTCAGAGTATTTCGCCAATAGAGTTATTTCCTAGAGAGATAATTTTTTTAGGCTATTTAGAACACTTGCCAAACATGGATAAACTCTATATGTTCATGTGTTTTGATGTTATATACTCCGGTGAATATAATGTTTTTGATGTTACTCTGAGTGTATATCCCAGCACACCGGCCAGGCTCAAACGTTTGCCTGACCACGGTGGGAATCGAACCTGCGACCTTTAGGCAAGGGTGGGTTGTAGCGAAGTAGTTGTAGTTCGCTACTGTAGCGAACTACAATTTTCAAGTAGCCAGTAGTTTTGGACTACTTTTTTGAAACAGTAGTTGTAGTTATAGCGAACTACATTTTGCCTAAAAGTAGCCAAGTAGTTGACTACTTTTCAAACAGCGAATCGCTATTCGCTACTTTTTAAAATTGTTAGCAACCTGATAGAATAGCGCCATGACATTGAAACACAGTTTGCTTAAAATCAATACTCAATTTGCACTCCTGAACACTGTAGTTAGGGTCGGCCAAGGGGTTTGGGGTATACAGGATCCAATGGGTATTTAATTTGAGTATACTGTATATTTACTTTGCGTTTACTGTTGCTACTCGTAAGTCGATTTGTTATGGATTGCATTACAGCCTGAGTTAGTAGATGCTCCAAATATAGTAAAACTAAAAAAATATAGTGTAGCGAAATAGCGAAATAGTTCGCTACATTTTTTAAGCAGTAGCTGTAGTCAGTAGCGAACTACCATTGTTCAAAAGTAGCAGTAGTTGTAGCTGACTACATATTTTTGAAGTAGCTGTAGTTATAGCGAACTACAAACATTTTGTAGTCAACCCACCTTTGCCTTTAGGATACTAGTCCAATGCTCTGCCAACTATTACTGAGCTACGAGGCCAAGTCTGTTCGACTCAGCAGCATGCTCATGTTTTAAATATTACTCAACACTTTTTGTATACAACTACAGATTAGATATTGATGTATATGTAATAATGCATTGTTCAACTTCATGCAGTATGGTATATACAATGTCAATGGTTTCCCCCAACAAGTTTATTGAATAAGTAGTTATAACTAAGTATGAATGCAGAAAGCATTAATTTGAAGTGCTGTATGTCAACTATTCAAGCTTTAAAAAATACATATATATATTGGATGAATATAATAATTAGAAAGATGACCACCTGTCGATTTTACTGTGATCCTTTGCAATGAGAAAACAATTATTTCATACCATATACTTTATACTAAACCAATGTTAATTAATTAACAAATCAAATTTTTTGTAGTTGTTGTTCTAACAAAAGTTTAGATTCACAATGAATTGTGGTTAAACTCAATAAATTTCTGCCGAATGAGTAGAACTAAAATATATAAAATATTCAGTTTTCAGTTCAATTAAAGCTCAAACAGGCAAACTGAAGCTGCTACTTTCTACTCCTTCGTTAACTGCCATATTTTCCGAAATTTATTGCATTAAAGTGCGTGCATGCATGCATACGCCCGTCAGTATTGATTGGTGGTCAGCGGTGGTACCATTAATAATGTAGTACTTGGTGAATGAGCGATGTTTATTGAATTATAACAGTATTAAAATAATAGTTTAATCAGTATACTTTTATTGATACAAATTTCTGCACACACTGACTTCTTTAAATACTTTATACCAGAAATTCACAAAATTTAGGTATCCCAAATACCCGAATATAACGTAAATTCCCGTATACCCGATTTAAAAAACTGCAATATACCATATACTCAAAACCCCCTGGCCGACCCCAATCAATTTAACTAAACGATGGCTGCATGTCAATTTTACCATAATCCCAGCCTAGACCTAGCCCTTCTATTTTTATTATTTTTTAATATTCGGTGCTTTTTCACATGAGAAGACTGACTTACAAATGATAGGCCCGAAATCAGTGGCGTAACGGAGGAAGAGGGGGCTCTTAGGTATATTTGGTGTGGGGGCCCCTGTTGACTGTTGTCATTCTTTGACTGAGATGTTATATTTATATTGAATATTTATAGAATGTTCTGTTTCATTCCATGCCTATAACAATAAAAATATAACAGTCTCGAACACATGTAACAACTATAAGAATAACTTTTGTTTTATTTGAGATGGAATAAAAAATCAACTACCGTTGTCGATGGAGGTTTAATTCTTTAGCATAATTAATTTTGCATTTTCCCATTGATTCTTAACCTACATTTTTACGTTTTCTAATTTTCTGGGCGATAGTCCGTAGTTTTTTAACTAACCCTACCTAATGAGCGTTACGCCACTGCCCGAAATTGACCAAACCTGCCAAAGCTGCAGCCGAGTAAAGGCTTATAGGTCTAGACTGCCATAATCCTACTAACAAATTTCAGTTCACCAAATTTCCTAGAAACAAAACTGACCTCGTTATTAAATAAAAAGACGTGAGAAGAATGCAGTTGTTAATTACATTTCTATTCATATTCCTAATATTATAATGTTGTCTATATCCACACTAATTCGTTTTCATGGAAATCATGGCGTTTTCGTATTGCATGTTCTCCGTTTACAAGGGAATATAGAACAGTGGTCTAATTACCTAGCTGAAACACTACAAAAACGGATTAGTTTGGACGTATAGCGTAAATGGTTAATTTTCTTATACGTCTGGGCACTAAGTAATCATGAAGAACAACTTCTAGAAGAAACGTTGATAGAAAAAGTATCCAACTTGCCACAATTGTTGAGATCAATCAGACCTTACAGCAAAGGTATAAAGAAAGATCATTCTCCGACTTTCATATTAATCTTTAAAAGCAAGTAATAAAGGAAAAATTATATTGACTATAAAATATAACCATAAATTCGAGCTTATATGATCAAAAAGTGGGTAACGTTATAATTTTTTTATAACACCACATTATTGCAAAGTTTTCGATCCGTTTATATTAAGCTTGCATTTTAATCAGTGGTAATCATATTAATATTATTAGCACGTGTACTGATCATGATGCAGATGCAGGTCACAGATTGCCGAAAGCTTTCCAGAAATAAATAGACGTGCATGGTGCATGTTTCCACAATCCAAAACAGTTATATTATATTGTATTCGCGATGCAAAACTATAAATAACTTAGGTAACGTTAATTGGCGAAAGGTAAAACTATATGTATATATATGTAGACATGCAAAGCCCATATGAAACAGCGATGTTTCATTTCTTATCAATAATATTTATAGGTTTTTAATTAAACGTTTTCCTGACAAGGATTCAAATTATTTTTTTATATAGATGATAAACCGCCGCATGTGGAAATTGGTATGCATATATACTCAATTACAAACATTGATTCATCCATGCAGGTAGGTTGTATAGCATTAAATAAACTAGCCTGCATGATTTCGATTTTCGACGCATAAATTAGTAGCTACTAGATAAAACATGAGCAGCCGATCTGTATCTGATATACAAACTCGAGCCGAAGGCGAGAGTTTGTATATCAGATACAGATCGGATGCGAACGTTTTATCGTACTTAAAAAATTACCCATCTGATGAGTTCATTGGCAAAGTAATTTTAAAAATAAACATTGTATAAGCCGAGAAAATCAAAGCTGAAATTTATGTAAATCAGGACAAATCTTCATCCGATTTACAAACATTGATTAAACATTCATTTCTTTTGTATTTTCCTCGTGAATTATTAATGAATTCAGTTTTTAATTTTATATATAGATTACGTACGGAGAATTTCTATACAATTCTATTCCGAGACGCAAAAACTATACTTCTTTCCAGTTTTTAACATTATAACTGCTCGCATCCACATTGAGTCCACAATCAGTACCACAAACGTTCAATCTACATCTATACGTTCTATAGGCCTACATGCATGCATGCAGTCTTATTCACTGCAAAACACACTCAGCCAAACGTTACACAAACTGGCCAAAAGAGAACTTGGGTGGAAATAAAATTCTGATATTTAACAACCGCCAGCACAAAATGGTGGTTTGCATGCATGAAGCTTTCAGTAAGAAAGAAGTAAAACTATAAAGTTTGCTTCATCGCGGTCGGCCATGCAAGTACCGAGCGAAGAGGTTGCGCACCTATAGCCTGTAGTTATTAAAATGACATGTCCTTATAGCCATGCATGCAGTGCTTATTTCAAATCAAGATTCTGAAAATTTGCCTCTTTCTATACTATAGTACAAGTGCCCAAAATAGCTTTATTAAAGACGCCGAGTTCCTCTCCAAAATAAAATTGCTATACGCGCATGGTATACACTACATGAAAACTAAATATTTTTAAAAGTTGTTAAAAATATTAGCTAATAAACATTTTCTTCTTTTTACAGCACTTTGAGATTGATATTATATTACGCCAAAAATGGGAAGATCATCGCTTAAAATTTACTGAACAATAAAATACTAATACTTTGAATATAAAATATGATGATATTATTAATAAGATGTGGATACCTGATCTATTTGTATCAAATGCAAAAACTACAAGACATAAGAACAGAATTGATAACAAAAATCTTGCACAAATTTTACGAATAATTCCTGGTGGGAAAATTGAATATACAAACAGGTACATTAATGATTATACATATAGATATACCAAACAGTTTATACTACTATATGATCGGTGACTGCAGATCAGAGGAAACACATCAAGCAATGCAAATTGTCTCCAATATATACGTACATCTTTCTAATACGTGGAGACCTCTCTAATACGCACATATCCCTAATACGTACATGAGTCCCGTATGGTTTTGGTTATTTGCAGTAACACTTTATACAGTGGTGTAGCCAAGGGGTGCGGAGTATTATGAAAAGTAATGCAATTTTTAAGAATGCGAGAAATTGCGTTTCATAGAACCTATAGAATGATCTATAAATGCAAACTTTCGATCAAAATCATATTGGGATTCCCTTCCCCCAGCATCACTCACAGAGGGGAATAAGGTTACACGGACCCCTCCAGCAGTTTTCCAAGGTGACTTTTCCAATTCATTTAGTTCCCAGGAGAAATTTCTGGTAAAAAATCATGTCTTTGATGTACTGTATAATCTTCGGAATTCTGCAAAATTTCAACCCAAAATACTTGAAATCGCATTTCAGGGACTCTAGATTTCACCCCCCCCCCCCAACTTTTTTATGAATATAGAACGTAATTTTCCCATCGTCCATATACATAAATATAATAAAAAATACCATACCTTTAATAGGCAATTCCAGCTTTTAGTTTATGCGTGAAGGGGACGATGGGAAGTAAGGTATCGCATTGCTGATTATGCTGAAAAAATAAAAATGGTGGCCGTGTAAACACGAAGTGATAGCTTATACGTGTAAATATTGAAATATTTCGGTTGTTTCGGCGGTTTTTATTGAACTTTTTCAACATAATCAGCAATATGATACCTTACTTCCCATCATCCCCTGCAGGCATAAACTAAAAGCTGGAATTGCCAATTCCGGCGGTGACATCTATTTTATTTTATTTTATTTTACAGATTTTGCCATTTAACACAAACTATTACACAAAATTAGTTACACAATAGATTATACATGGCTGGAATCAGGGCCTTTTTTAAGGATTTTTCCGTGGGGGGGGGGGCATTTTTTGAAAAGGGACCTTTCTGTGAGATAATATATTACAGGGAGATAGCAATGGCTGAAGGCCACGTGTGTGGCCAACATATCATGCACGCATGAACTCCCCCAGAAAATTTTTGAAATTTGAAGCACGGAAATGCCATTTCCTGCATTCTGAGCATCCAAATTTGCTCCAAAATGTATGCTAACTATACTTGTATTTGAAATAAAAGAAGGAAAAAACCCACAAAAAGTAAAAAAATATTAACCATAATTTATCATTACTTATTAGAGGAGGATACTAATGGTCACGTGTGTGGGAGTGTACTCCCCCAGAAAATTTTTGCAATTTGAAACACGGAAATGCCATTTCCTGCATTCGGAGCATCCAAATATGCTACCTATACTTGTATTTGAAATAAAAGAAGGAAAAAATGCACAAAAAGTAAAAAAGAATATTAACCGTAATTTATCATTATACTTTTTAGAGGGAGATACCAATGGCCGAAGGCCACATGTGTAGGGGCATAATCTCCAGAAAATTTTTCAAATTTGAAACCTGGAAATGCTCTTTCCTGCATTCTGAGCATCCAAAAAATAAAAAATTATAGTTAACAATAATTTATCGTTACTTAGAGGTAGAAAAACGTAACAATTTAAATCGATTTTGTTAAACAAGGACGTACAAAGGATAAAGCCTAAAACTTACTTTCTGTTTATTTATTTGTTATTAATTACATGGCTGACATCATGCATATATCACGTGATTTGCTTCCCTTGACGACTCTCGTTCAACGTCTAGGTTGTTCATTGTCTGCCTGTTGCTCGATCTTTTGAAGAACTTGCATGCACGACTTGATTCCCTGATTATTTTATAAGAGCATAGAATAAAAACAATGCAGTGATGCCTAGATCACAGACTTATGAGGCTGATGCTTTCCGGAGGAATACTTGAAGTTTGCCCGAATTTTTATGGAGGACTGTAATGAAATACCGTAACTTGAATTTAACATATATTCTGGTAAATTGGCCCGAAATTTCTTGATTTTTCCTAGCATTTGCTCGAATTTCCATGGTTTTCTAAAGTTTTGAAGCCCCCCCCCCCCTTCCCCCTGTCTCGTAGGCCTATGGCCTAGATATAAAAAAGTCTCTGGTTCGAGGAAAATAATTTCACATAAACAATTCCTGCATGAATCAAGTAAAGAAGAAAGTGTCAGAACAAAACAATAACATAGAACATTTTGACATTAATAAAGAAAACATATTAAATAAGTATAGGATTAATTGGGAACAGTCGGATATATATAAAGTGTCTTATGTAAAAATAGATAGATATAGGAGACCTATGCATAATGAAAACCGGGTTACCAGTAGTATATGTAAGCCTCGTTAAATAAAGTATTCTTCTTCTTCCAAGTTTTCCCGATTCAAAGATCTAGAGTTTGCTTGGTCTAGTGTGCGCTACACAGCTATACTGTATCGAATTTTGACTAATTCGTTCTTTAGGTTGGAATTGGATGTATTTTGTGATATGAAATTACACAAATTTCCTGCAGATAAACAGAAATGCAAAATTGTTGTGGAAAGTTGTAAGTTATCTTCATTCATATATATTCACAGTTGTTAATGAGTGACTATATATAGTTGTTAATGCATGGGTGTCTATTAGCGATAATGCAAAGCTCGATTCTCTTGTGGTCGTTTGAGCACTCTGGCCCCATTACACTCTGCGCATGTCTGGATGCGTTGATGTCGTCATGTTGACGTGTCGTACCACATGCCTTGATCAGAACAAGCTCATGTGATATAAATACAAGTGTATCATGTATCTAGACGTGTATCACGTATCTAGGACGTGTATCATGTATCTAGACGTGTATCATGTATCTAGACGTGCATCATGTATCTAGACGTGTATCATGTATCTAGGACGTGTATCATGTATCTAGGACGTGTTCACGTATCTAGGACGTGTATCATGTATCTAGGACGTGTATCATGTATATAGACGTGTACCAAGCTGCACTGACAAGGCGTAGAACGCCGAAGCATGCAAACTGCAACAAACATATATATAGCGTTTTCGGACTTTTTGCTTCAAGTGTAATTACGCAGGTAAATATAATCATTATAATCATAGTTTGTCCACAAGAACCTGTTGGCGAAAGCCAGTTTATGTTTTATGTTCACGAAAGCCAAATTATAACATTTTAAATATGTTTAGATGGTGATTCAGACAAGAAAATAAGTTTGGCATGGGAGAAGAAAAGATGTCCTGTGTTATTTCAAGGAAAATATGGAAGTCCACAATTCAAAATACTCGGTCCTTGTACAAAGGTTTCAAACAGCATTGCGTACTATGCTGGAAGTAAGTCACTTCTTAAATGAATGAGTAGCAATTAGGGCTATACGGAAAGAGATTTTTGTTCGGGGCAAATCACTCCAAATAACCAGACCACGCATCGCGTTAAGAGGCTCTCGGTTGAAGGGGTATGTGCGTTCTTTGCCAGATTTGTACTTCTGTCTTGAGGTAGACAATCTTTGAGTAAAGCCCTTCGAGTTAAGCCCAGACCATGCCCAAACTGAACCTATGTTTCAATTTGGACAGAGATGTATCACATGTTGCTACTATCCATGTTATATCCTAATATAACATTTTCTTGCTGTTTTAGGGAGATTCACCGCACTGGAAACTTACATAGAATTCAGCCGCCGTGTGACGTCATTTGTGTTTACAGTTTACGTTCCTGCAGCAATGATCGTGTTTCTATCTACTCTTTCATTCTGGATTCGTCCAAGTTCTGTTCCATCCCGAATTGCTTTGGGTATTACAACAGTTTTATCTGAAGCAACAGTAATGAGTGCATGCAGCCCTGAATGCCTATCCCACGGTCTCATATTTGAAAGCATTGGATCTGTACACAATGGTTTGTTTTTGTTTTACATTTTGTGTGCTCATTGAATATGCCATCGTGCATATTATGATGGTTAACAAGAAGATGCCATTCCACCATCAAGAACAGGGAGGCCAGGTTAGTCATGGAGTTTCAAATGAGTATTATTATATCGATACAATTCATAGAGTTGTTCATATCAAGGAATGGAAATGGTTCAGACACATCACTTTTCTTTAATTCGATCGTACGATTTGTCTAACAGAATGTGCAACCCTTTCGTAGAACATGCTGTGGGTATACTCACCATGCATAGAAAATGTATCAGTCTCAATGTCATTGATAAATTTACTAGCATGATGCTAGTAAATTTCTTATTGACATAATAGTACACGGCCAGAAATCTCACAGACTTGCTGCAAGTTGCGGAATTTACCTGGCCGCCGCAAGCTGATGACAAGTTGCGTCAGCCCTGATGAATACGTCAAGCCGCGACAGACCTGATTACCTGTCTGTCGCAACTGGATGACCGCGGGCCAGCAGCAAGTTGATGAGCGCAGCTTGCAGCAATGCTGTTGAAAACAAGTGGCAATAGGCTTGTCGTTAACAGTTTGCAGCAAGTCTGATGAAATCAACAGGCCTGTTTCGACCTGGGGCCGGTTGTATAAAAAAGTGATTAGCGCTAACTGCAGTTAAAAAGTAGTTAAATAGTAGTTAACTTTAATCACGTAGTTAAGCCAGTTGTATAAAAGTGTAGTTAGCCTTAACTACAGTTAAAAAGTAGTTAAAAAGTAGTTAAAGTTAACTATGCTTTGGAGTATAGTTAACTATCCAAAACGCAGTTAAAAATGGCGGCTTTATTAAGAGTGATAAACTTTTATGAGCGAGATAATATTGAAAGGCAACGCTTACCTAGAGTTTTTAATCGCCATCTTCCCTGGGAAGGTTTCTCGGATGAAGAACTGTTAAAGCGCTATCGTTTTGGCCGGGAATCCCTAATTTTCATAGCGAGACTCATCGAGGACGAAGTGAGACCACTAACAAAGCGAAACCATGCGATATCCACCGAACAACAATTGGTTATTGCTCTACGATTCTTTGCTTCTGGCAGTTTTTTGCAAGTAATAGGCGATACTCATGGCTATGACAAGGCCACTGTGTCCAGAATTGTTCGCAGAGTGTCACTTGCTCTTGCAAATAAGCACGAACAGTGGATCAAATTTCCCACAACAATGGAGGACAAAAACATGATTCGAGCAGGGATGTACGAAATTGCGGGTTTTCCCTGCGTAATTGGATGCGTTGACGGCACTCACATCCGTATACAGGCGCCAAGCCAAAACGAGCCAAATTATGTCAACCGTAAAAATTATGACAGCATAAATGTTCAAGTAATCTGTGATGACAAAGGTGTGTGTAAATACTTTGTTGTTTATATATTTTAATACCCATGCGTGTCCCCCCAAACGGAAGTACGTAACCATTTAAGAAATTAATTATGTATTCTCTTAAAAAATTGCTTCCTGTTTTGAAAAATATAAATAAATTTTCAAAGGGTGTCAAAATACATAAAAATGAAATAATGTTCTTTAGTTAACTCTATTTCAAGACTGTTCTGAAAGTGCTACTTGGCATTTGTGTGGTTCAGGATGTTCTGGATGATCAATCTTTACAGGGGCTGTTCAACATGAGTCTTGCTTGACATTTGCATCGTGATATGCGATGTTCTGGATAAATCAATCTTTAATAGGCCAGGGCAGTTAGGGGCTGTTCTGCTTTTAATCCTGCTTTGCTGGGTCTGGCAGGTCAGCCCAGCAAGTGCTACCAAGAAATTCAACTGTGAATTGGGTGGGAACGTGATATTTGTTTTTATTTCATTTGATATACTGTTTTTATTGTCGGCAGCTGCTCCATTATTAATTATTCATTAGGTGGACTATAAAACCATGTACTGTCCCTGTGTGAATGAAATTTCCAAAACGTACAGATAAAAACAATATAGGATCCTGGATCTTGCCGCTTGCAAGTCACGCCAGGTTAGCCTAGCTGGCTGATTTGAACGCCCCCTTATGACCAGAGTAAGGGGATACTCTGGTATATTGAACTAAGGGAGGATGACTAATATTTAAAAGCATTTCCATGTTAATTCAATATATATGTTCAATTCAGTTTTAATCAATATAATTAAACCAAAAGTACACAACTGAATCTAACAAAATCTCTTAACAATTAAGAATGCTGTGACTTATTTACAAATATTTAAATGAGATATCATAATATATTTCTATAGGAAAATTAAGAAATGTGGTGGCAAAGTGGCCAGGGTCATGCCATGACTCTTTTATCTTTCGCTCCTCTGCACTTGGCAGAGGACTAGAAGAACAGGTTCATACTACAGAGGATGGAGTACTGCTAGGTGACAGTGGATATGCCCTCAGATCATACTTGATAACACCCTTATTTAAATCCCGTTTTGCCACAGCAAAGAAGATTTAACAGGGCCCACAAGAAAACAAGATGCCTGGTTGAACGTGTAATCGGCATTTGGAAGAGACGATTTCATGTCTTACATTCAGAAATAAGGTAAGCTCTTCTCAGGCAGATAAAAAAATTTATGGCAGATAAAGAATATGGGGTGCTTCATAAGGGTCAGCCTGGAGAGCAAGGGATTCTAACACCTGCTCTGCAGGCTTAAAACCTTCCAAGTTACAGTATTGTGTTAATCAATATTAATTTATAAATTGTGTTATATTTGTTTAGAATGAAACCAGATAGAGTCTGTACTATTGTGATGGCATGTGCTGTCTTGCACAACATTGCCATCGAGAGACACGAACCTGAACCTGAAGAAGATGAAGGTGATCTTGTGGAGCTGGAAGATGGAGAGGAGCATTTCGATGCAGCAGAACGTGATGGGGTAACCGCTAGGGATTATATGGCACAAACATATTTTGCATAAACATATTTTGAAGATGTGATAAAGTCCATTTGCATGTGTCTACTTCGTTTACATTTTCTAAATTATGAACTTTATAAATGAAGTTTTGACATGTATATATTATATTTCCTTGCTTCGATCAACATTAATTTAAAATAAGTGATCATAGCAAAATCAGGCTTTGCCAGACACTACAGGTTCAAGGCTCAAATGTACAGTATGCATGCACAGAATGGACTGTACCGCATCTTTAACTATTTACAGTAATTTCAGGGTGAATCATGTATCATGCAACTGATCCTTTGTACGTTTTTATTATACTTTTACTGTTGATTTCATATACGTTTTCCCTAAATGTTGCAAACTTCATTCCAAAGTTTGTTGCAAAGTTCAAAAGTTCATAATCATATTCACAAACTATTTGTAAACAATGCATTTGAATGGCTGCTTTTACTTCAGTGGCCAATCAGAGGCTTTGTTTACAATCCAGCTTGTGAATTTCAATATGAACTTTTGAACTTCACAACGAAGTTGGGAACAAAAATTCCAGCATTAAGGGAAAAGTTATGTGAAATTGACTGTATATAACCAATCACTATCACATTAATTTATTTTAATACATCAACTTCCTCTTGAATAGTATTGGGATTTTTTAACATCAAGGCCGGTAAAACCAAACAAAAATAAAATGCGATGATATTGTGAAAAAATGTATACAGGAGAAAGCACAGGCAAATTACAACCCATGCAAACGCTACAGCCATTTTCTGGGATGCCAAGTGCACAAAGGATCTCTTTGCATGATATACTCACTCTTCAAACGAATTTGTTCAATGTGGTATTACCCAGTCACAGTAACTAGTATATTGGAGAAAGAGGGCATTGAAACGGCTCATTATTTTCGGCAGCATTCACTTTTCTCTCAAGAAGGTGTATCTGCAGCTTTAATTTTTGCTGTTGTAAAAGAAGGTTTTCCTTCTCGATTTCTGCCTTCTCTTTCTCTAATTGAAGGACTTCAACATGAAGCTCTTGGACGTCGAGGCGCATCTCGCCTTTGTTGTGTACTCGTCTTTGTATTACAAAATATATGCCCTTTATTGTCAACACGTTCTTATATATACATAGAAAGCTTACGTCATAGTAAGTATAATTATTCAAAGTCTCGACA